ACTTTCCTATCTTGGGGGGCAAAGAACTTGCCCTCTCATTGTGTCAGTCCCTGGCACAAGCAGGATTTTTTTTTTAATTACCTTCAGCAGTGTGGTGTCTAAAATGTTTGCTGAAATATATACTGTTCAATAAAGCAACTGTGGTTATGTTTCAAAATGTATTTTCCTGGCTTTTAATAAATTTAAACGTGCATGTAAACATGGTGGGTAAACAGATGTCTCGGGAAAGGCACTGTGTTCTTGTATGGTCCTTGGTACTACTGATCATCTTTTCGGAATTTTTACAGTACCAATCCATTGTTTGGCACAGTAAGGACGTGCTGCGGGGGATTGAAGCACAGCTGATGTTACCAGGCTGTGTAGGCTCGCTCCCCGCGTGTGTATGTCAGAGGTAACATCTGAGTTAAGTAGCTGAAGTTTAAATGTCATTTGCCTGCACCTGACACCCACGTGTGCTTCTACAAAGGAGTAAATAAAATAATAATTATTGGAGAGGAAAGAGAGTGGTGTTGAAGTCTGACTTTTGGAGAGGGAGAGTGTGTGTTTTTTAAGAGAAAAGACTGCGTGGTAGTGGATGCCTGTGGAAGAATGAATGGGGGAAGGAGTGACAAGGGAAGAGGAGACTAAAAGAGATGAAGGAAGAATGGGGGGAGTGAAGGGATAAGAGCTGAGGAAAGACAATGGTAGGGAGATGGAGATGGAGAGACTTAGGCTTGTGATCAGAAATGAAAACAAGGTAAGAAAAGGGTGAGAAAAACTCACTAAGACCTGCACCAATGATTTTCAGGATAATTGTACTGTGAGAGGAATCAGTAGGGCTGCACATGGCATCTCTGTGAATTTGTGCAGATGGCTGCATTAGGAAAAACTTTTGCCAGCAGGTCAAGGGAAATGATCCTGCCCCTCTACTCAGCTCTAGTGAGGCCACGTCTGGAGTGCTGTGTCCAGTTCTGGGCTCCTGTCATGGGTTCAGTACAAGAGAGACATGGAGGTCCTCGAGCAGGTTCAGTGGAGGGCAACAAAGATTATTAAAGGACTGGAGCATCTCTCTTACAAGGGAAGGCTGAGGGAGCTGGGCCTGTTCAGCCTCGAGGAGAGATGTCTGAGAGGGGGCCTCATCAACTTCCCTAAGTATCTGCAGGGAAGGTGTCAAGAGAATGGATCCAGGCTCGTCTTGGTGATGCTGAGTAGTAGAACAAGAGGCAATGGGCGGAAACTGATGCACAGGAGGTTCCACCTGAATATGAGGAAGAACTTTACCACACAGGTGACTGAGCACTGGAACAGATTGCCCAGAGAGGTGGTAGAGTCTCCCTCACTAGAGATATTCTGGACTATCTGGACACAATCCTGTTTCATGTGCTCTAGGATGACCCTGCTTGAGCAGGGAGGTTGGACCAGATGAGCCACTGTGGTCTCTTCCAGCCTGACCCATTCTGTGAATCTGTGACACAGTTGCACTAATGCCAGCCTGTGCTTTGGGCCGCGCTGCTGGCCTTGCTAATACTTTCTTCCCTGGACATTTTCACCATCCTGCTCTTCCTCTCTTGCTGCTATGCCATTTGTGTGGAAAGAGGCCCTTGTTATTCCTTATTTTTGTCTCTGTTGTTGTGTATCAGAGTGACTGCGCTTCACTGCCCTCTTCTCTAGTGATCGAGGATGCCTCGAGGGTATTTTTTCCTTGCAATTATCAGTTTCAGAATCTGAGAATTATTTGGGTATTTTGTGATAGATAGTATTTAGTCATTAAAGTTTTAGGTGAATCTTATTACAAGATGAAAGAGCAAATGAATTGTAAAGGAAAAAAGGAGAAATTCATGAGGAAATGAAATTACATAATGTGTAAAGTGTGTGGCACTGGTAGGACTGAAAAAATTGAAACTCAAATCTTAGATTTTTAATGGGACTGTTAGGGTGGGGATGTCTAATACCCATCACAACACAGGTCAAGCAATTTCAGCAAATGTTCTGACCCCTGTGATAAATTCGGTGATGCAGAGAATCACTTCTGTTTAAGGCTACACAAGAGCTTTGGAGTTAAGCTGCAGATAGTAGAAAACATCCCCATAGCTAAATTAAGCTATGTACCATACAAATAGTTTGTCGCTCAGTTAAAACTTGCTTGGCTGCAGCTTTATCATGTTATGCTGCTTCTTATTGTCAGACTCTCTCTGGATCATAATTTGTAATGGTGCGCTCGGCTTCCTTCCACTTTCAACTGAACAGATAAAGTATCTTTGTAACAGTTCTGATTATAAAGTCACTGTACTGTCACTTGTTTCATTTTCTCACAGTTTATTGACAAAGCAGTTGCAGAATGTTGGTCCAGTAATAGATTTGCAGAGTGAAACATTTTGCTGGGGTTTTAGGGAATCATTTTGCTGGTTTTAGCAGGGAAGGAATTAAAATGACAGGGGTTTGTCTCCTCAGTCCCTGTGGAAGCCTGCCCAGCTAATGAGCCTTTGGAAGGTCATGGCTCTTAAGTGCTTAACTGGTAAATGATGGTGCCTGTGCTGAGCCTCTGCTCGGCCAGAGTCAGAGCCAGGTGACACCTCTCCCCACGCTGCCGGCAGCAAAGGGCTCTGCACACCTGCAGGCAGGTAACAAGGCAGGGGAGCCATTGGCCTGGCTGAGGGCGTGGCAGTGAGGAGAGCAGGCACTGGGCAGAGAGGGTCTCTGAAGGGTGGATGACACAGGCTGAGGAGACGAGGCCAGGCACGTAGAGGCAAAGGGAAGACAGACACTGTCCAGATGAGGGCATGTGCTGGTGTTAGTAGTGGTATCAGATTTTTACAGTGACAGCTGCAAAAACTAGAGCACAGTCCCTTTCAGGTTCTGTAGCAGAAACACACTCTTGCTTGAGTTTCTCCTGCTGTGAGAACGTCACCGTGAAATGTGACCATCACTCTGTGTGGGGTAGTTCTGGCCACAGAACAGCATCCTGCTGGTCTTTGTGGTAGCTCAGGTGCCTGCTCTTTCTAAAGGTTTCTAGCCCTGCCAAGGGAAAATTGACAGTACCTGGTGCAATTTGTGCTTTTACTATCTGTCCTTTTTCAGAGGAGAAAAAGAAATTACATTAATCTTTTCTAAAAACCACAAAGTCCAGAATTTAGAAGCTGTGATCTTCAGGATTAATAAACTCGATATGAATTCGACATATTGTGTGCAGTGCAAGAACAGATACTGTTTTCCTCTAGAGGATACCTGTCTTGTCTTCTGCAGGGGCTGCTTTGGAGAGGAATGAAAAGCAGCATGCTGCAGTATGACCCGTGTTTCATTTGCTGTGTAAATTGAAAGGTTTAGAGTTGATGAGTCTGGGGATTGCAGGAAGGAAAAAGGCATGGTCTTGCGAGCCCCAAGGTGGATTTCATCCCTGCCATGAGCTTCCTCTGTTAGCAATATTAATTTTCAACATTGTGTCCCCATCGTCTTCTGACACGCTTTTTTGAGCCATAGGGATGTAATCTGGTAGCTGGCTGCTTAAACCTTGTGTGAAGTCTGTCATGCTGAACAAACATGGAAGTATCAAATTCAGGAATGTGCTGACAGAATTTTGCCGCTTAGTAATTTTCTGAGAATTTGAGTTTGCACTGTTAACTGTCCTTGAATGCAGAGGGGTGATGTGTATATGCTGTGGGTTGTGTATCTGGGTACTCAAGGACACCTACTACCTGAGCATTTCTCAGGTAACTAAACTAGAAATTACAACAGAAGTCTGTTGAAGCAGCAGCTTCATTACTCATGAGGGTTCTGTGTGTGACTTATTATATTCTGTTTGTGCAAAAAAGTAAGTAAAAGGAACAACTTCTGTGCTCAGCAAGGCCCGGAGTTGGTTTTACTTCTTACAGGAATCAATTTCACGGCCTGTGGATAGTGCTTGTTAAAACCTTCCTCCTGCATGCAGACCTTCCCAGACAGCTGGTTGCTTTTCAGGGAATTGAAAAAGCGTTCGTTGCTGTAGAAATATGTGCAGTGAAAATAGAGACTGCTGCCTGGACTGATGTATTGGGCAGCTTTGGTGATGGCCAGACACACCTTCAGTTGCACTCCCTGTGTGTTGGAGAACGGGTTCAGGAAGCAAATATGCTTAGCTGGGTTTCTGAAGAGTTTTTCCCACCAACTTTTTTTTTTTTTTAACCTCTAAGAGAGATTTTTTTTTTTTAATTACATATAAAGGTGACAATAATCAAGCTTGGATTTCAGGTTAATGCAGTAACACTAGATCTCATTTTGATTAGACAGGCATGGAAAAATGAGAATCGTTTTTATCAGCTTTGCCAGTTGAGCATCTGGTGATGCCTAGGGGGTGAGTGGCATAGTGCATTGAAAATTAATTGACTATCAACTTCACATTGCTCATTCAGAGCCCTACAAACGTTTATTATTCATGATATATGGCATCCTTCCAGGTGTTGGATGGGCCGTACTGAGATGACGGTGCAGAAGGCACAACAAGGAACACGTCACGGGGGGTTAAGACTGATACTCGCTGCTCCCTGTCCCATCTCAGAGTTGCTCTGTGGCTCTGCCCAAAGCGCCTGCTGTCCCCTATGTGTAAAATGGATGCACTAAAACAGACTCACTTTTCAGTGAATTAGCATTTGATCAACTTTAATTTTTACATCCTTGTGTAGGAACAACTAAATGGCATTATTTACCAGCTGTTGTACGATTTTTTTCTTTACTAAGTGGAGTTTTTGAATGTGTTAGAATGACTGACACTTACTACAAATTTTGAGTTTCTGCTTTCTTAATGTGGATCTTTCTGCATGGCAGCAGTTTTCTGCTAACTAATATGTATTCTAGAACTGTGCTCCCAGATTAAATCTATCACGTTTTTATAGTCAGATTCCTCTGGAGCTGGCAACAAACAGAAGCACACTAATGTGCACTAGGGATATCATTAGAGGGGTATATGTGTTGTTATTGATTAGCTTTGTTCCTGCCTTGGCATCACGGACAAGAACCTGATTTCTCCACGTATTCTCCTTTCCCTGCAGGTATTGAGAACCTGCCATTTGAATTGCAGAGAAACTTCCAGCTCATGCGAGATCTGGATCAGAGGACAGAAGGTGAGGCTTAGAGATGGTTTTGTTGCCAAGACAATAAGTATGTAGCTTGACCAGCTTTTCTTTGCTTTGCTTTAAACACGGGGATCCCCGGGCGGGGAAGCAAGCCTAAAGCTGCTCCAGTCATTCGGTCTCTCTTACTGGAAGGCACTGTAGCATGGTGTGTATTTATGTATTTAATGGTAAACTTGTTTCAGACCTCAAGTCGGAGATCGATAAGTTGGCCACAGAGTATATCAGCAATGCACGAACTTTGTCTTCAGAGGAAAAACTGGGGCTTCTCAAGCAAATCCAGGAGGCCTATGGGAAGTGCAAGGAGTTTGGGGACGACAAGGTTCAGCTGGCTATGCAGACCTACGAGATGGTATGAAGGGAAGTGTCTGGTGCTTATCGGGTGAAAGTCCGTCCAAACTAAAGCCCCCAGTCTTGAAAGGCCTTGATCTCTCATTTTTAGGCCCTGCCCGCTCTTTGCTTCTTGGCTCTTTAGTGCAAGCCCCCTCCTCTTTGTCCTCCTGGGCTGTGTCCTGTGGTGACTCCTGGTCACTGTTGTCTTTGCAGGTGGATAAGCACATCCGGCGGCTGGACACAGACCTCGCTCGCTTTGAAGCAGACCTGAAGGAGAAGCAGATAGAGTCGAGTGACTACGACAGTTCTTCCAGCAAGGGCAAGAAGAGTGAGTACCACCACTGGGCTGCAGATTGATACAGGAGGCAGCCAAGTGACTGTGGAAGTGGTGGGGATGAAGGCAGGCACTGGAATGGTACAGACCAAAGACTGTTGCGCTGGAATCTGAAGGACAGGTAAAAAGATGGTGACCTGGGCTGTTCTTGTGTGAGGATATTCGAGACCACTAGATAAAATTAAATGGGGTGCGTGGCCCAAAGCTGATATACATTCCAAAGTAGGGGTGTATTTTAGTGCTGGAGAGGTCGTCACCATGTCAGGTGTCTGTTTTGATGGGGTGACAGATGCAACACCTTTTTCTCTTCTTATCAGAGGGCCGAGCCCAGAAAGAGAAAAAAGCTGCCCGTGCTCGCTCTAAAGGGAAGAACTCTGATGAGGAAGCGCCAAAAACTGCCCAAAAGAAACTGAAACTTGTCCGCACGTAAGTGTTTTAAGAGACTTGTGGGAATCAGGAGCAGCACTAGAAATCAGACCAAGGAAGGCCCAGTCTGAGAAGGATAGCTGATCCCCACCCAGACTAGAAGGGTGTATCTCCTGTCCCTTCTTGGGAAGCAAGAAGAAGGGAATCTCTTTAATTCTTTCAGGGGAGTGTGGGCTGAAGAGGAAAGCAGGTCACTTCACTGGAGTTGGGTGTATGTGCTTAAATAAGAGAAGCATCTGTCTCTGGCAAACAAGGACATCATCTTGGGAGACTCAAAGCCAGTTATTTTGCTGACCTACTTTATTCCTGTCCTGCAGTAGCACAGAGTATGGGATGCCTTCAGTCACCTTTGGAAATGTGCACCCTTCGGATGTACTGGATATGCCCGTGGACCCCAATGAGCCTACTTACTGCCTCTGCCACCAGGTCTCCTATGGGGAGATGATTGGCTGCGACAACCCAGATGTAAGAGCCTGCACTTGATGGAAATGGGGAAGAAAGGAGTGGAGAGAAGGGTCTTGGATGGAAGGTCTTGTCCTGCTTGGATGGGACCTGATACAGCAAACAGTGGCAAGGAGACAGGGAGTTTGGGAAGGGCAAGGATGTGGCATACCATGACCTGTTAAGTGCCTCTTTCGTCAGGGTTTTCCTTAAAATGTTTTCTTGCCCCTAAACATAGCAAGGGACAACGGGAATTCTCCTTGCTAACAGTGTGTAGGTTGGGTGTGAGTCTTCATTCCCTGATTGCTGCTAGGGATTTGGGAGTTTGTGATCAAATGCTGGGAATCTCTGGTAGCCCAAGAGCCATGATTTCAAAAGAAAACTGCTCTTTGACTGACTGCTCTCCATCCCAACAGTGTTCCATTGAATGGTTTCATTTTGCCTGTGTGGGTCTGACAACAAAACCAAGAGGAAAATGGTGAGTTAACAAGCAACCTGGAGGGCCCACTGGCCTTTGGAAAGGGGAGGTTGTGGGTGGCAGATGGGAGGGTACACTTGAAAGACCTCATAAAAATGAAAAATTGAATTAAGGTTTTGTTGGGGACCTTGGAAAAGGTCTTTTGGGATCTCTTATGTTCGAGGTTCATATCATGCCCTCAGTGTTGGCTTTGCACTTCCCTTTCCAACAGGTTCTGCCCTCGCTGTTCGCAGGAGAGGAAGAAGAAGTAAATTCCCGTGAAACCTCAGAAGTGCTGCAGGAGCTCTCTTCCCCCTGCCAGGGCCTCGTCCCAGTTCCCCCAGCCCTTGGGGCCTTGGCTGAGGGGGAGTCTTGCCCTGTTTGTGGTTTGGGCCATCCCTGGAATGGTGTGTACCCTCACGGTGGTTCCTGTGTGTTCTGTTTCCCGGGTTGCTTCCAAGTCCCTAAGGGAGGACTTCTCTGTGTACTATTCCAAACAGGTCCCTGAACCTCAAAGGGAATGAATGAGGGCACCAGGGTAGCCACCAGATTCCCAGGGATTCAGGTAGCCCCTGATTTTCCTTGGCTTTCCTTCAGCCTCCTCAGAGTTCATTGCCTACTCTGTGCTTAGAGAACAAGGCTATGGGATGGGGGAAGGAAAGGAGGTAAGTCTTCAGCATTTTAGGTCATTGATTTTCCTGGATCTTTTTCAGGAGAGAGGGAGTAACCAGGCTACTTCTTAATCTAGTGGGCTGGTTGAGAGACTGAAAACCTGATACGCTCCCTGTCTTTAACCATTCCATTACTGGCATTGAGCAGCCTCTTTTGTTGGGGAGAAGTGGAGGGAGTGTTTAGAGCTAGCTTTGTCTCCCTTATTCCTGGGGTAACTGCTGGTCTGGGAAGCACACTGTGGGAAGGAGGAAGAATTTCTAACCACATGGGGAGAAGTGGCTTGGTCTAGCCTGTCTTCCGACTCCAAAATTCTGCCTTCCTTTTGTGCAGTGGTGCTTCTCCATTATGTTGATGGTGGAAAGTTTGGGGATTCAGATCCCACTTGTGTAAAACAGAATGAAATAAAATTCATTGAAACAAATACTCTGTTTGCCTTGCTGTCACCTCCAAAATAAACTGTGGCAATTGGTCTCTCCAGTTCTTTTTCTCTTAGCTCTGCTTTTATTGTAAGTTATGAATGTGGTACAGCTTTCTCATGTACCAGTCCTAAACAGCATTAATAAGTGACATTCTGCATAAGTCAGGCTTGAAAATGTACCTAATGTACTTGCAAAAGGTTACTGAGCTTTCTAGTGGATGTGAAAAACATCTACCCCATCAGTCGTGCCCTCACAAGAAGGCGGACGTTTATTCACATTATTGTTTGATCATCTACTTCATCAGTTGCCTTCTCTTACATGAGGAAGGGTGGAGGTTATTAAAGCCAACACTCACTCTGGTTGTTGGGCAGCACAGCTGAGAAAATAAGCCATCAGGACAATCCATGTGCCTCCAAGAATGTGGGTAGGTATTGCCAGATATCCTGATAACTTGCTCCCCAGTGGGTCACAATCACCTTGTTGCCAGAAACTCCAACTTGCCATAATGTTGGGCTCCAAAACAATTACTGAAGATGTATCTCTCTTTGTAGTGTCTGCAGGTAACTGTGAGGAGATGACCCACACAAAAGGTGACCCTTGATCGATTCCATTGGCAGGACCTGGAGGTGGATGAGCCCACGTTTCTTGCTGCTTATGGTCTGCTCATCAGGAAGGTTTAGGCTTTTCACGTGAAACACAGAATGTGTTCCTCACACATCCATGCAGGATTTTGCTCTTGTAGTCATGAAGCCAAAGCTCTGCTTGGGTTCAGAGGATTGTAGGTGAAGAGCAATGTTATTCCCACCTTGTCATTGTATGGGGACCCTGTCAGCCATCAGCTCAGGAGCTGGAGTTTTCTGCTCAAGGGACTTGGCATTGAGTCACTCTTTGCTTTTGCTTTGAGATCCGTGGGTTCCCATTTTGCACAGAAAAAAAGTAGAGATGGGTTCTTACCCAGGCTATGGCTCAAGTTTTTGGTACTCCTGCCACAGTCTCCATTTCAATCCCCAGATTGTATTAGGCCACTCCCTGGGGTTTCCCTTCTTTAACAGAGAGAAAGTAAAATCTGGAAGATGTTGGCTATGTGTCTGGTACCATTTTCATCGTGGGAGACACTGTGCCAAATGATGCAGGGGGTGAGAAGGCTGTGGCAGGAGAACAAATTTATTGAGCTGGGATGAATTCAGACATCAGCAGGGTGCTCTGCTGACAGAAATGGTCTGAACTTGAAGATGGGCTTTGGGCGAAGTGCAAGGGTGACGAAGGATGCAAACAGTCCTCCAAGCAGTTTGGTTTTGAGGGGATACGACTTTAATTGTAATGGCCAGTGTTAGCAGCAAGTTCTCTAGGAGCAAGTTCTAGCAGCAAGTTCTCTCTCTGTGAGCTAGAGAGGTGTTTGAAGCACTAGCCCTGTACTGAAGCCACTGCTAACCAAGGGTAATAAGTAGCTTAGAAAAGCATGTGGTGTAACGTGAGAGAGTGTGAGTGGGCAGGAGTGTGTTGCACACCAAACCAGCAAACAAGATTTCTTATTTTTCGGATGCTGCTCACAGGAATAACTCTGTCCCTGGCAGCTCTGGTTCGGGAAACACAAGTCTGGGGTTTTCTGCAGTCAGCATAGGATGCTGGGAGGGGGAGGTAGACTGGAACACTCCTGTTTTCAGACTAAAGCTTGGCCACAGCATTAGCATTGTGCTTCTTGGCAGGCTGAGAATTGGAATATTCTGATGACCTAATGCAAAACAGATGAGAAACACCTTGGCTTGGTTCTGTTCCAGTGCTAGAAAACAGCGAGCAGTGCTTGGCTGGAAGCACCACTTCCCTGCCACTCTGCTGTTGTGTCCTGCTTCTCGTCCAACAAAGGGGTGCTTCAGCCAGCAGCATGGAGCATCCAGGGGACGTTTGCTGCAGCTGAGAGAGTGTTCTGACTTACAGGAAGAGGGAACTTGGACCAAAATTGAGTATTTTTAGATGGCTTTAGAAAGTATAAATGCAAATGAAAGGGCATTAAAATCTAACCTTGGAAGGGAGGGAATAAGGGCAATAGCTGTGCAATATTTAATCACCAGAGGAGGGAAAAAATCAGTTGAAGCTGGAAATTACAAAGTACAAAAAATGAAGCCAGTGGGAACAAAGCCTGTAAGTGACAAGGCTGGAAACATGAGCAGCTTTTTTTAGAATGCCTTTTGTTTTTGATATAATTGAACATGGCACATGTCCATTACCAACTGCAGATAGCAGAATTGTTTGTAATGAGAGGAGGGGAAGTGTTCTGTAAATATTTATTCTGTGTTGGTGCTGGTGTCAATATGGGGATGATGTACTTCCTAGGCAAACAGTAAAGGAGAGTTTTAAATAGCATCTATTGGGGCCAAGACTTTTTTGATCAGCAGTCTTCAATAAATTATGTCTGTCATCCTGTGAAAACCACCCAAAGGAGTCTGTGGACTGCTCTCTGAAAGGCTCTGGACTGCTAAGGAAAGCCTACAAGGCTGGAAAAGAGCCAGCTCTGTGCTGGTCCTTAACGATGTCAAGAAGGCTGCCACAGCAGTCCAGATGTGAAACGCTGGAACAGCAGGGAATAAATTGCTTCTCTCTAAAACAAGCACGAAATCCAGGTCAATAAAATAAAATTGGTTTGACTGGAAGGAGCAAAAAAAGGTCAGTCAAAAACTTCTTGAATCTTTTTTTTTTTTTAAGATCCATATTAATAGTTACCTGTATCGCTCTATTGGTAACGGGATCTGAAAAGTTTATTTCTCCTAGAATTGAAGTGCTTAAAGCAGGGTTACACGAAGTTAAAGTAATCATGAGCTCCTTTACAGAACTGGCTAGCTTGCAGATTTCCTGGAACAGCTGTCAGTGCAACATAAACACTTTCTAAAATGGTGCTGGAGAAATTGCCCTTTTAGAGTGATTGGAAATATCCTAGTTGATGAGTAAAGTCAAGTCTGAGTTTTCTGCAGCCATTCAGCACGACAAGAGGGAAGATTTTTCCAGCCTCTTTTAAGCCCATTTATTAACAATAATTGTTCATGCACACAAATGACCAGTTTATCTTGTCCAGCTGTGATTGCCCCATCTGTGGGCATCGCTCCTAGGTAGCTGGGCAAATATGTTGATGAGGGCGTTCAGCAAAGTATTCCCCTTTCCAGCGAGCAGATGTGCTCACCAAGCTCCCATCCCTCGGGCTCTGCCACCACCATGCCCACTGCATGGTGTGCACAGAAATCATCACCTTCCACCAGTGGGACCACCTTCCTCACCTGCTTTGGAATGAAGAGATTAAACTCACCCTGTGCCTCAGCAACATCCAACCTTTTATTAAGCACTTCTAAGGGGTCACTTACCCAGCCATACACTCAGAGCCATATGGTGGACATCCCTTGCTCACTGTTTGTTTCTGTGCTCTAGCAGACTCATTGAAGCTCAACTGCAGGGTGTGTTCCTGTGAGACTCAGATTATCAGGGATCAATTCTTATGAGGCAGTTACTCAGAACTGGAAACACTGATTGGAAAGTACCCCTTGAGGTTGTCTGCTTCAGCTTCCCCTTCAAAGCAGGGCTGCTGTCGGTCCTAAATCAGGTCAGATATATGCTAAGTACCAAAACTCCCTGTAGCAGAGCATCTAGGCTAAGAGGCAGCAGTTGTGTGGCTCAAGGCGAAAGGTGATGTTGCTGACGATCTAAAGGCTCAATTCAAATGCTGATCGAATCAGTTCAGAGATCTCAGCTTGGCAGTGGAGAAGAAAGACATTCCCAAGAGACAACTTGCTCATACTGAAGTGCCTGAAAATAAGCCCACATCTGCCCAGACACAGCTGGTTTGACAGTTTCTGAGCCATTGTCCCTTTTATAATCAACCACGGCTCTACTTTCTCTCTGCCATGTGAACCAGGAGGATGAACTGCGAAGATGTTCACAAGCTGAGTGGCAACATCTGCTGTTCTAAAGCAAGCGAGGGAGACCTGCAGCATTGAAAGAGTTAAAGACTAATGGGAGGAAACAAAATGCCCTACCTTTCCTTCCAAAGACAACTGAAGGAAGGTTCTCCAACTCTGTTGCCTAGTAGTTACAAGATCAAAAGAAACATAGCTGGTTTTATCCAATAAAATGCATTTTATTTATAAAAATAGTCAAACATCTTGATTAATTTATGCTAATTTATGTTTATTTTTCTGAATACATAAAAGAAAGATAAGTGTTAGTTTTAAAAAACACATTTTTGCCCAAGGCTTAAGGACAGGCAAAGCTGTGACAAACACTAAGCTCCTAAGGCTTGGTGTGAAAGAAATGTTCAGCAAGTTGTCCACTTTAGTCTGTTTTTGCAGGTGTACAATTCAATTTCAGTGGGCTGGATTGCTGCCATTAAATAAATAACTCATTCAAAGTTGAAAAGCCATCTGGGAGTAGAAAAGGAATTCTTTTTTACACTTTGACAACAAGCAATGAAAAAAATGTGTGAGACCATGAGTTTTCCTCATTCCAAAAGCCTGAATGATGCAGTCATTGGAAGAACCCATTTAGTTACCAGAGAAAGACTGAGGTGGGAAGAGGCCTCTCTGGTGCTCTGTAGCCCAAGCCCCTGCTCACAGTAGGGATAAATCCGTGGTCAGATCAGGTTGTTCTTGCACTAAACAAACCTGCCTAAAAAGACTAGAGCAGTTCGTTCAAACGTTCCTTTATGTAGCCACTCCATCTTAGGTAGTATTAATAATTCAAGAAACCGTTTTTAAATACTGTTTTTTGCTATCAATTAAATATTCCATTTTCTAAATGTCAAGTAAAAAATGCTTCATTCACTATTTCCTAACAAAATAAAATGTAAATTAAGTATTTGAATTAATGCATGTTATAACTCTACAGTGCTTGTATAAATGTGAATAGATTAACATATCTACCAAGTTAAAAAGGAGTGTAAATTTTAATGTGAAGTCTATATTTATCAGCTTATTCGCAGAGCTCTCAGCCAATGACAGTAAACCCACCAAAATAAAGTACAAATGAGGAATGAAGATTATTTAACCTGTGATTAAACTCAGCAATTCATAGAATTTTGGTTCGAATCTGAACACCCTCTCATGCTTTTGTCTGCAGAGATGGAGATCTCTGCCCTGCTCTGCGTGGGCTGGTACCCACATCCCTTCCCACAGGGCCGCAGCTGCCAGGTTGGAGGTGTTCAGGACTGGGAGGATGAAGGGGTTCAGTGTTGGAGTCTTCAAGTAGGTTTTGCTTCAGGGAAGACAGTGCTGTACTGTCTGACTCCCTACATCGATGGAGTAAACGTCCCCCTTCGCTGTCTGCTCCTTTAGGGGTATGTTTTAGTAAATGAAGCAGTCTTCCCTTTCCTTTGATGCTCTGTAAGGAATGAATAACCTGGCATGAAGGGGCTCTGTTGGCCCCTTCTTTATTCCAGCCTAACATCTACACAAGCATACCTGCTCATGGCCTCCTCCATAAGCAAAGAGGCTGGTGTTTCTTTTCCAGCAGCATACTGAGTCAGGGGAGGTTTAGATTGGGTGTCAAGGAAAGGTTCTTAACCTAGAGTGTAGTTGGGCACTGGAACAGGCTCCCCAGGGAAGCGATCACAGCACCAAGCCTGACAGAGTCTGAGAAGTGTTTGGACAACACCCTCAGGCACATGGTGGGATTTTTAGGGTGTCCTGCACAGGGCCAGGACTCAATGATCTTGATGAGTCCCTTCCAACTCAGCATATTCTATGATTCTATGAAATATAACCATATTTCAGTTAACCACACTGTTATGGCTGTACCGGTACTCTGATTATTTCAATTCAGCTAACATAAAAAATTAGATTTAGGCATTTTTACCAGAATTGCCTTTCTAAAATCACTGTTGGTTTGTGGGTTTTTTTTTCCCCATAACAGGTGTTTTTGAAAGCATGTTTCTATCATCTCTGCTTGCATTTCAAATTATTTAAGGCACATGTTTTCTAGGGATGCTGCTTGACAAGTCACTGAGTCTGGAATTCACACTTAATCTCTGTAGCCTCCATCTTTATGAGTTTTTGAGGTGATCGAACATCCTTTCCACAAACCAGACAGGCTCTTATAAAGCTCAGAATTGACATAGCAGTTGGATAGCAGCATGGAAAATCCCACTCCAGCAAGCTGCTATCCAGCTGTTACCCTCCCTGCTGCTGGCATCAGGCGCTCTGTAGGCCTGGGGGCTACAGCTGTGCTCATCATCCCACCGAGCTCCAGCTGGCACAGGAACACATCTGTGGAAAACTGCTGTGTGGTGGCTCTGAAAACAAGGGTGCAAATCTGGTTCAGTGCAAAAATTATACAACTTGTAATGTGGCATCGGGGGTACCACCTTAAAAGTGCCAGGTCAATGCTCAGAAATCACAAAAAAATGGAATTAATATCACTTCTGTGCTGTGCATTTCTGACCACTATAATTGTTTGAAGCAGCAGTAGAGAGCAGACCCTCCCCCGCTTTCAGCCATTGATGCATTGTGTCCAAATTACTGTTCCTCCCATCCTCGTCCCTCCCCTCAAGATGACTTTTTTTTTTTCCAGAGGCTTAAACAACAAGTGCCCCACAGCCAGCCTGTCACACACCCAGTCAAACAGCACTGCAGTCTCCTGCACTTGCAGTCTCTCAACCCTGCTGGGTGCATGCTGGAGACTAGCTGGCATCTTCTTGTGGACTGTGAGTTTCCTGAAGGATTCTGACAACCTGAACCAAATCCAGGGTGTGCCACAGTGCATGAGAAATGCCGAGTAGCCAACCTGTCCTCACATCACTAACCACCTTCTTTCCAAATGTGCAGTAGCTCCCCACAGGCCTTGCTACTGGAGCACCCGCCAAGGGTGACTTCTTTGACAGCTCCTTTGTCTTCTGCCCTGTGTTTGAGTTCTCAGTGTATGTCTGGGGACTCTGGTCCATTCGTTCTGGTTTCCTGTTTTCATACACCATAAATCTCTTGCTGGCACATGGAGACAGAGGCTGTGTAGCCAGCACCTGACAGACATTAATAACATTGCTTGGCATTGCTCAGAGAAGTTGTGGATGCCCCATCCCTGGAAGTGTTCAAGGCCAGGTTGGACGGGGCTCTGAGCAACCTAGTCCAATGGAAGGTGTCCCCGCCCATGGTGTGGGGTTCAACTAAATGATCTTTAAGTTCCTTTCTAACCCAAACCATTCTATGATTCTATGACATGGCACATCGGTGTGCTTTCCTAAGTCCACTGTTTCCATCAGCCACTGAGGTCAGCACTGAACTTCTCCAGGAAGCTGCTCAGCCAGGGCAACAGAACTCAGCCTGATCTCTGTTGTCACGAGGAAGTGGAGGGGATTAACAGAGCTGGGGAGCTGAAGGCCCTGGAGTCGTCTAAAATCAGCTAAAAAGCAGTATCTCTCAAGCTAAGCAATGGAAGACCAGGATCTGACTAAAATTTGCAAGCCCTGGCAGTGTTGCCTGTTTTAGTATGAGTGGTAAGATCTAGTTGGAAAAAGTCTCCTGATCACCATCTTTCTAAAGAACTGCAAAGCCATCCAAAATTCAGTGCTGCTGTTAAGGGGTCAGGCTTCAACCTTCGCAGAAGCACAACCTTCCAACAAGACACCTTAGAGCAAACTACAGCTTGTCTCCTGCCAGGACCTGCAGAGCTACGTGGTGCTGCCAGACACCTTTTCAACAGACTGCATTGTTGAAATGCTGACTGCATTTGTTGACTGCATTCAGTCAACAGACTGAAGTGATTTGAGCTTCCACCTTGACAGCCTGGATGGCCACAGGGCACTGGCAGGAGATGTGTCAGCCATGCAAGCACAGCCGGCACATCCGCAGCACGCTCTGCAGCTGTTTCATACAGCAGAGCCGCTGGAATCTCCCAGGATTTGCGACAGAAGCGACTCCTGCAGCAGCATCCTGCTGCGGAGCTGAAAACTTTGTCAGCTCAGGCCGCAGCTCCTCCTTGGTTCCGCAGGCTGTGGGGTGACACGGCAGGCACGCGGAGCCGCTGTGCCAGCCTGTGTTCTGCTGACGGCTGCAGTTCTTGGAGCTGCTGTGCCAAGCATTTTGCTTCCAACCTGACAGCTGCTTGCCCGTGATGGTTGTGGTCATGTCTTTCCCTCTTGCCTCAGACAGTGCGCAGCTGTGGGAAGCACTGTGCCGGCTCCTGTCCGTGGGGTGCACATGTGGATTGCTGTGCCTGTGCCCTGCACTTTGTGTGTCTCTGTATTAAGAACTGGGCATGGGTGTGGGTTTCCCTTAAATAAGTCCAATGGGGCTCTGGGCATCTCTACTCTGGTGGTCCCAAAGCTCATTTTGCCATCAGCATTCCCACTATTCCTGAGAAGGCTTTACTGTGTAGAGTGCAGTGCTCAGGGTACCTTTGCCAGATACAGAGGAAGACCAGCTGGTGCTCTCTTGACTCCTTGGAAGCTCAGAAAGTGGTGTGGCTGCCCAGAAGAGATCAAGCCATCTTCCCGTTGCATCCTGAAACAAGCTGGTGCTGGGACATGAGTGTTTTCCAATCCACTCCAGATGGAGCAGATGTTTTCCCTTCCCCCTGCAGAAAGGCGTAAAACACTTTGGGGTGCAAGTGATACCCCTTTTGGGGTACCCTCAGCCCTAGGTTAGCCTGGCCAGGCCTCAAATGCAGTTGCGGGTTGTTGCCAGCCACCACCATGTCCCCAAGCAGAGACGGAAGCTCCCGGTTTGGTTCCCACTCCTCCTTGTCCCCATGACTCGGTGTCTCCCCTCCCTGTGGGGTGCCCACCTGCCTCACTCACCCACAGACATGAGTCTGGGCTTTGGCTGCCCTCCACAGGCCGCTCCCCAGCCCCGCTGTGACACCGTGGTCAGGTTCTGGTCGCGGCACCGTGGCTGCGTTCCGGTTCCACTGTTGCCAGGGGCAGAACCCGAGTGCTCAGGCTTTCTATGTCTGCTCTGCTTGGTATGTGAGTGACTCCCACCCAGCCACCAAGCAGCTCCATGAGGCTGAGGCTTGTGGTAGACATGCTGTGGCTCCTCTGGCTACTGAGTAAGTGTCTGCCTCCTGGGGCCACCTCAGAGCCTGGGGTCGGGGATGGAAGGAAGCATGAAGCCCCTGTCCTGCTGCTTCCAACCCAAGACCACACTACTGGGCCCACAGGCCATGCCAGCTGTCAGTTCTGCTCACCTGGGAGCGGCTGGAGGCCCTTGGAGGGGTCATAGTGTGGGGGACAGAGGAGAATGTGAGGGCAGGAGGGGAGGTGGCCCAGCTGAAGGCAAAGGAGAGAAGGAAGGAGATGAAGGGATGCCCCCTTGGAGGGGCACAGGCCCATAGTGTGGTGCAGGGGGCAACTCCCAGGGATGCACAGAGAAGCCAGTGCCATTGTAGGTGCCTCTAGAGGCTCTGGGGCTTTTGAGGGGGGGAAAAGTCCACTGAGAAAAAACCCACCCAAAAAACCCAAAACCAAAACCAAGCCAAAAATCAAAACACATTCCCCTAGTCCAAACCAAACCAAGCTCACAACAAAACACAACTTCTAAATTTTTTCTAATTTTTTTTTTCTTTCTTCCTTTTTTATTCGTTTTCACCTTTGTCCCCCTTGGGGGTCCTCATCCCAGAGCCCTGCTCTGTGCCAGCAGACAGGAGCGGGCCAGCTTGCCAGCTTCTCCTTCATTTCCTCCATTAGGGGCTGTTAAGCACAGGCTGTCCCAGGTCTTTCTCCCATAGGTCTGCTGACTTTGCCGACAGCTGCTGTTGCTCCACCGGTGCCTCCCATTCCGGGCAGTCCACTGTCAGACACGGAGTACCAGCAATTCTTTGCGAGGCTGCAGCCACTCTGGGAGGCAAACATGTTCTGCCTGCTGCGCCAGGCGTACGGCTGCCTCAGTCCCACCATTCTGCAGCTGGACCAGGAGGAGAACCACGGCCAAATCCCCAGTGGTAAGGACATCCCTCCACCTCCATGGGCAGGGAAGGGCGCGGCCCCAGCTGGAGCAGGACCAGCTGTCTCTCTGCCCCAAAATGCTGCAAGATTGCGGGAGGGGTTGTTTTGGGGTCTCTAGCCCACAGTCCAGCTTGGAGCAGACACTCCCAGAACAAGAGCACACTGGCTTTGTGCAAGAGTGGTTTTGCAGCCTCTGTGGGCATCCCTTCCTGTGCTGCACCACTTCCCTGGAGAAAAAAAGCTTTTCCCAATGGCCAGTCCTAACCTCCTAAGCAGGCTACAGTTTTCTGGGGCTCACTGAAGCTCTTCATCTCTTACCAGCTCCTTCCAACTTGATCTGGGCATTAATGCAGAAACTTGGCTCATGGGTTCTCATAGGTCTTTAAGAAAACTTGAGATGATAAGCTGTCTTTTTAAGTGTTTAACATTTCAGGAGCCAAGAAACATCCCGGTTCAGAAAGCACCATAGCAACAGCACCCTTCAAATCTCCGCAGTCATATTTTCCCTGCACCCCTGCATCAGAGAATTTAAGTGGCATAATTATATCTGTGCAGCTGAAAAACTTGGTACTACTTCTGTTGTATTTTTCTTCAGAGGAAAAAAAAAATAGGAACAATTTTCTCATAAAAAATACGTCTTTATATTTAGATATGAACGTCAATGAGCTGAATGATCAGGCAACTGTGCTTATTTGGACTGCAGCTTGAGGGCAACTATTTCTTGATGGTTTCTGCAGCTGTGTCGGGGGAATGAGTGCCACCCTTCAACACCAGACCCAGGGATGGGTCCTGGGCTCCTCACTCACTCGTGGGCACCTGCAATCCAATACCTTGAGGTGCTGGGTGCACCCAGGGTCTGTCCCTGGTTTCTCTCCTGCTGGTGTCCAACTCCTCAACACTGTTTTTGAGCAACCTGGTCTGGTGGAAGGTGCCCTTGCCCATGGCAGAGGGGTTGGGACTAGATGATCTCTAGGGTCCCTTCCCACCCAAAGCATTCCATGATTCTCTGGTGCTCCCAGGCCCAGTCTGATCATCTTTTGAACCTATCACATCACTACTTTCCTTTTCTCTTTTTTTTAAACCCTGTAAGGACTAATAACAGAATCATTCTGTCCTGGAAATAGGAAATTTGGGTCTCTGTTGTAGGGAAGATAACTGTGATAAAAAAAAGACAGAAGAATGAACTGAAACCCTCAGAGGGTTGGAGGGAAAGGGAATGTGGCACCTGGGACTGGGAGCTATAACACCACTCCATTACTGTGATCTCCACATGGGGGCAGACAGACCTTCCCTGCATCCACAAGCTGTCATCTCAGAGGTCCTGATCTCTTGGTGCACACAGGCCAAGGCAGATGATAAAACCTGTGGCCTCCCCCATCCTCCATATCTCTCTCCAGGGCCAGTCTGCACTGATTTTCCAGAGGTGCTGCAGTTTCAGACCTTCTGCCAGTTCGCCCAGTACCGTTGCCTCAAACAGCAGTTCTACGTCAAGGTGGGGAGTGGGATTTGGGACAGAGAGGCTGGGGAGATGGAAAGGGTGAGGAGGAAGGGAAAATGACATAGTGAGTTTCATGTTTCTCCCTCTTTCCACCTCTCAGAGAGTCCCATGTTCGACTTGGTCTCCAAAAGACGTCATCCCGTCGAAGCAATCTCACACTGTGAACTCCGTGACAGTGGGCAGAAGCTCCTCTGCCAGAGAAGGTATGGCTGCACCAAGCTGTGCTGAGCACTCTGCTCGCCTGTTCATCTCCTGTAACTACTCTTCCACCCCCAGCACCTTTCTGGCTGGCCTCAGAAAGGTGCCCTCAGCCGCTCCATCCCTCTGTCTCCCCAGCTCACAAGCAGGCTTCTCCCTCGCCTGCTCACGTGGAAAGGCTTCAGAACCACTCTCACGCACACCCGGGTCAGAAACCACCGTCAACAAAGCCCCCCACAACCACATCAAAGGTGACCACGCCCTCACAGAAGAGCACGACAACTGTGCGCCCGACAACTGTGCGCTCACCAACTGTGCTTGTCCCGGCTGCCACTACCACCTCGCCCCTCAGGGTGGAATCCTCTGAAGACCAAAGCCTGAAGAACAGCATCTGGCAGCTGATCCATTCGGCCCTTTCCTTGGATGCATCCCTGGACGCCAAGGACTCTTCTTGGAACTTCACCAAGTCAGGTCCAGAAATCACATCAGAACAGGAAATTCCCCCCCGAGGCAGGTGAGGGGAAGACTGCTCTTTCTGGGTGCCCGTGCAGGACTGTCCTTGTATACACTGGCTGGCAGCCCCGCAGCATTCATGCCCCTGCTTGGAGCAGGTGGTGAGTGTGGGCAGGCTTTCTGGAGCAAGCTGTCCCATCCAGAGAAGGAATGTACCTGGGGACCCTCTCAGGCACCCCCAGCTCCGGCACAGAGTGAGCAGGAAAAGGGTGATCCAGCACTGCTCCTGCCTGAAAATGTCACTGGCCTTGCATCCTGAGCAAAGTGAGTTTAGTCTGGGCCTTAGCTGCAGGCAAGGCTTTGTTTCCCCACGCTGTGGCCATCTGCAGTATGCAATCACCTCTGCACTTATCCTCCTCCCAGCACCTCTCCCAGGAGTACAGGTGATGTGCAGAAACAGATTCCTTGTGAACACTTGGGAGCCCTTGGAGGAGTGCTCTGTCCTCTCCCAAGTAAAGTAAAAGCAGCCCTGTGCTGGGAAACAGAGCTGGGAGCACAAAGCCGTGCTCCTGGCTGTGCAGGACCACTGCTTCTCCTCGAGCACGTGAAACTCTGTGCGCTCTGGATCTGTGCACAGCTCTTCCTAGGGGGTTTCTGGTTCCCCATTATGGTTTTGGGAGCAGTTCAGCACAGGGCCATGTGACAGCCCATCTTGCTGCAGTCCTTTTACACACCCTTCTCAGTTCCTCTGGCCTGTAGGAGCTTGTCGAGCATGTTGAGCTCTTCTCAGTTGCTCTGCCAGTATCCATTTCTCTCTGTTCTCAGGTAGCTGGGGCTGGTGAACCCACACAGAAAAGACCTGCAAAAGGATCATATTCTTTCACTCAAACTTACTTTTTGATCTTTTACTACTTTGTGGCTGAGGGCCACTTGCTTTGACTGAGAGGCAGAGACTATTTGGCTTAACAAAAAAAAAAAAAAAAAAAAAAAAAGCTCTCTGAATGTGGTTTATATGGAGAAGTCATTTTGGTTTCACTCTGTTGCTGGCCTGTGATGTTCCTGTAAGCGCACAGATTTTGTGCATGATTGCACATCTGTGGTTTCTCTTAAACACAGAGCATACTACCACTACAGTTCAGCCAGACATTCCTCTTCTGCATGTAAAAATGAATTGCATCGTTATTAAAGCCATAACTGCTCTCTTGCAAAGCTATAACATGTCATCCTCCTCCCTAATATTGTAGGAAGCTTTTACTGCCTGGAAACATTTTTTTTTTCTGGTGTATGTACTCTAAACTGTGTGTTTCATCGAGGATGTGCTCGTTTTCCCTGCTTCTGAGACTGAGCCTTGCTCTGATTTAATTCTATTGGGATTATTGAGGGACTGCTGTGATTGCAGATGACACTTGCTATTCTGCTGCAGAGTTTCTCAAAGACACTAATGCTGACTGTGTGTCTGTAACCTGGCAGCCAAGCCCCATCAATCATGCTAAGCAAAGCTTAAACTCAAGTGGGGATAAAAAGGCGAGATAGACCGTGCCTGTCGGCTTTGCTGCTCACCACATCCTGCCTGCTCTCAAAGGGACTTCAAAGCATGACCTAAAAAAGGGGCAAAATGCTTTGGGACGTTTCAATTCCACCAGAGGAGCAGTGCCGGGTGGGACTGGTCATTGCAGACAGGGACCATTCAGTGTCTGGACTGACACAAGGTGTGCAGGGTGGTGCTTTCCTAGTACTTGATGAAGTTAACTGTGACCTTTAGAGAGAGACAGGGCGATGGTAGTAATACAACAAGAATCTGCAGCACACTTTTGTGGTCTTTTGCTAGCAGTGAATCATTATGGGAGGGAAACGTCAATTATTGCACTTATTTTCTACTTCTAGTCCTTACGGTGTTTCCTGCCTTATTTCCCATTATTTCCTCTTCTTAGAGTTGCCCATATACCAAAATTCAGTCTTGCAATAAGATAAAAAGACCTCTGTAGCTCTTACATGATAAAGCCTGTGCAACTCCTATTTTTTGTGGCAATTTTCGGTGGCCCTTTAAAACATCCCCACGCTCCAGCTCTGTGTGCAGAGCCCTGTGATGGGTTTCAGCAGCTGGGTGCACAGAAGGACACCAACCTCCCTTCCCTGCTTTTCTGTTTGCACGCAAGAATTGTATTTGCCCTTTTTCCCAGGGCTTCCCACTGTTGTGTTGTTTGTCAGCTACAACCCCTACACCCCTTTCAGCGTCACAGCTGTCCCAGATGCAGACCTTAGTGTGCTGGTATTCTCGCATGGATGCTCACTTGCAGTTCATGTGAGCCCAGCTTTCCCAACAAAGCTGTTCCAATCCCTCTCAGAATCCCAGAATCACAGAATAGTTAGGGTTGGAAAGGACCTCTGCCAAGGCAGGGTCACCTAGAGCGAGTTACACGGGAATGTGTCCAAGTGGGTTTTGAACAGGTCCATGACCTTCCTGAGCAGCCTGTTCCAGTGCTGTGCCACCCTCAATGTAAAGAAATTCTTCCTCATGTTGAGGTGGAACTTCTTGTGTTTTAGTTCACAGCCATTACTCCTTGTCCTGTCGCTGGGCGTGACTGAAAAGAGTCTGGCACCATCTCCTTGGCACCCACCTTTGAAATATTTATGTGCACTGATGAGATACATACACTCCTAGTGACTCAGCCTCTTCCTCCTCCTCCTCCTCCTCCTCCTCCTCGTGCTTTACTGCTCCAAACAGTCCTTGTGGTGTTTATGTACTTCAAACCCAGAGGCTTTCATTCTAAGGCCAAACTCTTTGTTAAAAATATCATCCCCAGAAAAAATACTCTTTTTGAATTATCATTACCCATAGCCAGCGTTGGCATGCAGGCAAAGATCTCTTTACTCTTTCTGAAGCTGTGAAAAATGGCTTTCTCCTTAATGATTTTACTTTCCTGCAGCACACCCCACCTAAATCAGAAGTTACCAAGTGCTGGAAAGCTGCTGTTTGCTCCTTATCTTCTTTTCTGCTCGCCTCAGGTTCTCACTCCACCTCAGCCAGCCAGTATCGGGGAGGCTCAGCAGCTGAAAGTTAATGGCTCAAGTCCTTGTCATTACATTGTGAGAGCGGTGGATGCTGTTCACCAGCACTCTTCAGAGATACCACTGAAGCAGGCTCTGTATGTGTCATTCCACATCTTGAGATGCTAAAGTATGATAAGCTTTTATCTGAAGTTTTCTCTTTTTGCCTTGGAGCAATTATTGATCTCAGCTCTCAGATTCTTCTTAATTCTGGGGGGGAGTTTTCACATTTCCTTTGAATCATTGCCTCACAGTACCTGTTAGGCTTTTTCCAGGACAGTGGCTAGGACAAAAACATGCATAAATACTAAGCTGGGGTGGGATTTGCATTAGGAAATCACTTTAGGTAGATCCATCCCTCTCCCTGCAGCATGAGTGAGACGTCTGTACATCCACAAACAGCTCAGCAGCACGTCAACAAGCATAGGGGACCCGCAGCAGTGCTGTTATACTCACCCAGAGGTGGTAAATCAGCTCATAAATTTGCAAACATTAGGCCAGAAAACCTCACAGCAGTGATGGCGAGCAGAGATGGGGCAGGAAAAGGATGTGACAGGGAGTGCAACACTATTTCTTGGTAACCTCAGACTGATGGCAAAACTCAGTTTTCCAGGAAGGTGATCTATTTTAACCCTCAGGCCTAGAAATTTATCTGATCACGCACCTTGGCCTTCCTGCTCAGCACAGGACATGAAGCCATGTCTGGTGAGCCCTGGAGGAAAAAAACAGTATCGTGCCTGAGCTACAGACCCTTCTCCTAAGAGAAGTTTGGGATACATTTTTGAAGTCTGAACTGTGGAGAAACCATCCCATCAGCTGCTCCCAATCCAAATACCCTTTGTGTCAGAGACATGAAGCTAATTTCTGGTTTGAATGGATCTCTCCCCACATTCTAGTCACCAAAAGTCATTACTTTTCCATCTGCTGACAAGAACAGCTTTCCAGCTGGTGTCCTCCTTGGTAAAAGTGCTGTCTGGCTGAGTGGCCACCCACTAGTGCCTTCACTCAGCTAAAAGAGACTCTTTCAGCCTCTTGCTCTAGATGAAAGTTTTCCAGGCCTTAGGAAATCTCATCTTCATGACCTTCCTTGAGGTTCTCCAATTCTTCTTTATTTTTTTAATGCTAATCTGAAGGTCTCCAAGAAGTTTCAAATACTCTGAGGAAAATTTGTCTATATAGGTTAGCCCGTGCATGGATTTTAAGAGCATTTTAACATAAGCATCTGCTGCTCCTCTTACTTTTTGTCAGATCAAAGTTTGTTTATTTAACACTGGTTTTGTTTCCAGACACAAGAGGAAAATATTTAATTGAGCATTTTTACCTCTTCTGTATCATTGATATGATTGAAGCCAACCATCCCTGTCTAGTAGCAGTTCTGTACCATGCCTACAAATTCCATGGTTCCTAATATTCTTATTGGCCTTATCCCATTATCCTTAAACTTTCTACTTTTAGCTACCCATGTCAGTTTGAATGAACGGGTAATTCATGGTTATCAGACTTTTCCCTTTCTATCAAATACATTGGCTCAAGCAGGAGGGAGGCTTAGTGAGTGGCATCCTCCAGACCCAAATGGGGCTGCCCCACAGTCAACATTCACCAGACCTCTACAAACATCTCCTCATTGCCCTCAGACTGACAAAACTAGGCAGCAGCTGCTGCAGGAGCCCTGGGAAAGTCCTTCGAGCTGTACCCTGTGTCCAGTCCCTCTCACATGATCCCAAATAAACACACACACACACCCCCACACCCACACCCACCCCCCATAGCCTTTGTGTTATACAGGCATGTACAGACCCTGCAGATACCCCCATTTCTCTGTGCAGTTTAGCCAAGAATCCAAGGTTTCTTTGGCAAGGGTTCTTTTTTCGCTATGTTTTGAGATTGTTTTCCCCTCTTTCCATTTCTAATTGATGGTGTATTGACTTCCTCCTTCCCTTTCTCTGTCAGCCTTTTAGCCCTGCAGAATGACGAGGCAGTGCTGGTCCTGTGCTATGCAGTGCTGGAGGGAAACTGTCTCTCGTCAATGCTTGCCATGGCCTGGAAGGAGATGGAAAAAAGAGTCTTTGGGTTCGGAGATTCGGTAAAGACCCCAATGTCCACCTTTGACCCCACAGTGTGCAGGGGTTCCTGTCATTTCGGGTGTCACCTCCCGAAAGAAGCTGACCTGGGTGACCAGGGAGGCAAGCTCCAAGCCAGGGATATGGGATCTCCTCAGTCTCCTTTTTTGGGATCTTCTTAGTCTCCTTTTCCCCACCCCCGACCATCCTAGGTGTGTGACAACCTCGGGCGGCATCACATGGACCTGTGCCCTGACTGCGCTTTCTGCTCGCTGAAGATGGAGCAGTGTCAGAACATCAGAACCCTGAGCCGTGTTCCCTGCGACACAGGTGACTTCTTCACCTACATCAACCCTCAGATCTCAGCCCAGCACCAGGATGCAGAAAAGCAGGTACCAAGTGAGCTCTGTGTCCTGCTGGTCTCTGAAGAGGATCCTGGACCGGGAGGTGGGGAAGGAAAGGAAGAAGCATATCTCACTTTATCTCACTCCTTTGCAGACCAGATTCTCAGATACCCTGGAGGACTATGACTTGGATTTTTTCAGAGGGCTGAGGTCAGAGTACTGGTGCAGCCGGATGGCCACCCACGGCTGCAAGGACCCAAGTGTGATGCTCTGGCTGGAGGCAGAGTATGCTGCCTTCCAAAAGGGAGGTACACCAAACAAGGTGGGTGACCATCAGTGGATGTTCCCACCTCTCATTCTCTTTTTCTTTCTCTGACTTTCATTCCCATCTCCCCAGATATGTGACTCCAGTGGAGTTCAGCACCCCAGCTACTGCACGTTCAAGAGCCACCAGTGCCTCCAGAAGAGCATCCAAAACCAGAGGGTGAGAAGCAGTTGCACTGCCTTTTGCACAGCCATTCCTCCGTGACTAGGCCCTCCACAGCCAGCCTTAAGTCCCTGTGGAATTCACTGTCCCCCTACTTGTCCTTCCAGGAGGACAGAATTGGATCTGTTTGTGGGGTGATAAATAGTGACCCAAATGCAAGTGGCATGTCATAGGTGGGTGGGATTTGCATAGATGGTGTCAGGGATGGAAGCAGAGGCAGCTATAATGTGAAGAAAAATGAGCTGTGGGAAGCCTTCCACCCATCAGTATATCCCTGTAGGGGAGGATCTCTCCCATCTACTGGGTGCTTCCAAGGTGGCGACAAAAACCAAAATCACGAGAGCAGGACAGAGGATTAGCCTATACCTTAGGAAACACACAGCTCAGCTATTAGCTGAACAACTTTCCAGCTGGTTCTACCCCCTCCCCTCTGGTGCCCCCCTCATCCCAGCCTCCAAATGCTGTCCACTGTGGAGGTCCTCCTTCCTTGTGGAAAGGATGGGCAGTGGCACCCTTCCTATGAACTCAAGTTCTCCTTGCAGGTGACTCGCGTTGAATGCAAGAGTAACGAGACCTACCAGGTGCTGAGTGAGAAGGAGGGAGATGAGGAGGTGCAGCAGTGGCATGAGAGGTTCCTCAGCCTTGCCAAGAAGCAGTCAGAAAATCATTAAAGTTTGAAAACATCTTCAAGAAAATCAAGTTCAACCTTTGACCAAATACCACCATGCCCACTAAACCATGTCATGTAGTGCCATGTCTACTTGTTTTTTGAACTCTTCCAGGGATGGTGATTCCACCACTTCCCTGGGGAGCCTGTTCCAATGCCTGACCACCCTTTCAGTGCATAATTTTTTCCTAACATTCAATCTGGACCTTTTCTGGTGTAACCTGAGGCCATCACTTTTTGCCTGGGAGAAGAAACCAATCCCCACTTCACTACAACCTCTTTCAGGTAGCTGCAGAGAGCAATAAGGTTTCCCCAGCACCTATTTTTCTCCAAGCTAAACAATCACAGCTCCACCAGCCACTCCAGATCCTTCACAGACTTTGTTGCCCTTCTCAGGACATGCTCCAGCACCTCAATGTCTTTCTTGAAGTGAGGCACCCAGAACTGGACACAGTACTCAAGGTGTGGCCCCACCAGTGCCAAGTACAGAGGGACAATCACTTCCCTGGTTCTGCTGGCCATGCAATTTCTGATAAAAGCCAGGATGCCACTGGCCTCCTTGGCCACCTGGGCACACTGCTGGCTCATATTCAGCCACTGTTGACCAGCACCCCAAGGTCCTTTTCTGCTGGACAGCTTTCCAGCCACTCTTTCCCAAGCCTGTAGCACTGCATGGGGTTGCTGTGATCTGAGCACAGGATCTGGCACTTGGACTTGTTGAACCTCTTAGAATTGGCCTCGGTCCATCAGTCCAGCCGGTCCAGATCCCTCTGCAGAACCTTCCTACCCTCCAGCAGATCAACACTCCCGTCTAACTTGGTGGAGTGGACTTATTGAGGGTGCCCTAGTCCAAATCATTGATAAAGATACTAAACAGGACTGGCACCAATACTGATCCCTGGGGAACCCCACTAGTGACTGGCTGCTAGCTGGGTGTAACTCCATTCACCACCACTCTCTGGGCTCAGCCGTCCAGCCAGTTTTTAACCCAGGAAAGAGTGCACCTGCCCAAGCTATGGGCTGCCAACTCCTCCAGGAGAATGTTGTGGGGAACTGTGTCAAAAGCTGTACTACAGTCCAGGTAGACAACATCCACAGCCTTTCCCTCATCCACTGTGAGGTTCACCTGGTTACAGAAGGACATCAAATTGGTCAAGCAGGACCTGCCTTTTGTAAACCCATGTTGCCCGACCCTGGGCCTGATCCCCCGGTTATCCTGCACATGCCCTGTGATTGCACTCAGGGTAATCTCTTCCATAACCTTCTCCAGCACTGAGGTCAGACTGAATGAGGGGAGCCTCACTGTGGCAGCTGCTGGAATTGGAAATATTTCCTCTTGGAAATATTTTCTCCAGCCAAAGGAACAGCTGAGCACTGGAAAAGGCATTTCTTGCATCCTTCCCCCATACATAGTTTTCTGTACCAGTCCTCCAAATGATGAGTCTTATTTTGTAAAGAGCTTGTTTGATTTTACAAACTTCATTTGTTCCCTTCTTTATAATGCCACTGCTCTATTACACCTCTCAGTGACCCCTCTTGTGCCCAAGATGGATCCTTATGCCATCCTTCTCCACACCCTGATGTTCCTTTCTTACGCAGCCCGTGTGTCCCCTGAGCACAAAGACACAGCATGGCCTTGTCCCCTCCCAGGACACAGGAGGAAGCAAAGCCAGGGACCCTCCAGGTCCCAAATCCAGCATGTGAGGAAGAAGCTTTTGCATGCAGCTGGTTTATTTTTAAAGTTCAGGGGTTTATCTGGCTTGTGTCCTCCAACCCTCCACCCAGAAAATTAATTCAAACCACAGAAAGCCCACTGAGGCTGGAGGGAGGGTGCTGTGGGGGGAGCACAGAGGAGCTGATGGCATGTCTGGACCTCAGGGGAGGGAGGGGAGGGAAGGGAAAGGGAGGGGAGGGGAGGGGACGGGACGGGACAGGAGGGGAGGGCAAAAAAGTCTTTTTAAGCCAGGCCAATACAAAGAGAAGGAGATCCACTTTGCAGGCAACAAGCTGACTTGGGTCTGTAAGAGAAATCCCTGAGGCAGGGAAAGGGATGGGGACCTACTCTGACTTGTAGGGCTCTGGAGAGGGGAACGGATCTGCCCAGAGATAGAGGATGTTCAAGGGACCAGATCTGACTGTGACCCCTGGAGAAGGTGGTTCCCTTGTTGAGGAGGGGCTGGAGGGGCAGGAAAGCCCTTCAGAGCAGAACAGGGTAACTAATTTCCTTTGCAGAAAAGGCCAAGGAAGTTTAATCGCAGCTGGGCTCTGTAAGGAAAAGGAGATTGCACAGAAGCAGGTAGGGGAGGCTAGGGCCCCCTTCCACCAGTACTGGGCTAGGAAAGGCAGCAGGATGCAGACTCCTCTGGAAGCACATAGCTGCCCCAAACTGCTTCTTGGGGGATTGGGGGCTGGACTGAGTTCTGCCTAGCCAGAGGGAAACCCCTGAAGCCAGGATTGCTTCCCAGCCCTTGTTCCTGCCCTTACCTTGCTCCCAGCCTCATTGTTGTGCAGGTTCATGAGTGCTTGGCTGGAGGAGACACCATGGCTCCTCTGTGGGTTGATCACGAAGACTTGAGAGAAGGTAATCCCATAAGACAGGTTATCAGAGCAGCCCAACCACTGGAAACCTGCTGAGGGAAAGCAGCCAGGAGAAGCCCTGAGAAGATCTCCCAGAGGGTTGTGGGGAAGGGATGTGTCCCCTTCCCTGGAGACAGTTTCTCCCATAGATCTTTCCCTCTGCCACCGGCTTCCTGCCACAGTTTTCTCCTTCACCTTCAGGGCTGGCTCCTCGGATCTTGTGGTCGCAGCCACACTTCTCCAGCTCCCCGCAGCTGCAGGCACGAGTCACAGCAAAAGCAATGCCAGCAGCAGAGATGGCATGGATGAAACCAGCCTCTTGTGTGCCTGCAGCATGGCAAGAAGCTGCACCAGTCTGCAGGGCACAAAGGCACTGATGGGACATGGTGTGGGAAAAGAGGTTGTGACTGCACACAGCAAGGATGCATTCAGATGGAGACTGCTTGGGAGAAATACATGGCAGGGTATTCACCCAGTGCAGCTGTTCCCAAGGCCAGGAGCCAGTAATGGAGGTGGCTCTGTGTCAGGGCTGATGGCAGGGTAAGGGAGGAGATCCACCAATCTGCATAGCTGGTACCCAGAATGGTCCAGATGGGACCAAAATGCCAAATCTGGCCAAATGGGCAACAAGTTTAGCCAGAATGTTAATATGTGTGAAAGCACATGTGTTTAGTTCAGTTTACTCTCTGTTGACAGACATGTTGGCATGTGGAGGAAGGCACTGGCCACCGAGGATGGGTCCAGTGTGACCCTTGCACCCTAGCCCAGGAAAGGCTGATGTGTCAAGGACACCCTATAGGCATACCAGAGGGAGCCCATGGCAACCCTGCCTGTGTCACCTGCCCCTCGCTGACCTTGGATGGCCATGTTGCCAAAGACCTGCGGCCCCTGCAGGGTGGGGCAGGAGTTCCAGCAGTGAGTGAAACTGGTGTTGGCACTCCTGGACAGCCAGCTCCGCACCTCGCTTCACTCCTTCCATGGCTTCCACCTGCCACTGGCAAATGCAGACTTGCTCTTCTTCCAACCCCATCAGACCATCACAGCCCCTGGGGTCCCGGAGGGACACCTGCAGGGAGTTGTGCTTGTCCAGGTACCTGTGGGGCAGGGGAGAGATTCGGTTTCAGATGTGCCAGAGCCAGGGCCATATCTCTGCAGGACTAGTCCTCTGTAGCCTTATTTAAGAGCAGAAATGTTGCAGAGAAGGGGAGGTGCCTCCTCTTGTCTGTGTTGAATTGGACATTACTCCTCCTCATCCTGATCTGCACCTCTTCCGCTCTACCATCCCCCTCCATCCATGCTCCCAGAGATGCCCTTTCTAATGTGCTGCCTTTTGGTTGCCCAAATTCCTTCTTCCACCCTTCTATCACCCCATTTTCTTTGAAGGCAGCACCTGCTTAGGGGACTTTCCAACTCAGACAGTACAAGTGCAAAGCATACTCACAGCCAGGTCATGGCAGCAACGTGCTGCACAGGGATCAGCACTGCATACAGGCACACCAACTCCATCCTGTCCCTGGCAAAACTCCACCACCTTCAGCCACGGTGCAAGAGCCACCTCAATCCCCTTCTGTGGCCTCCCACAGCCTCTGCCTGATGATAGTCACTTTCCCAGCAGCTCCAGTCCAAGACTGCAAAGCAGGGGTAGCCCTGGTGTGCCTGCCAGCATCAGAGACCCTGCAGAAATCTCCTGGGCTGGCCCTGAGAGATTGTCCACACCAGTGCTGTTCTGTACTTACAGCTTGGGCAGCATGGTGGGAAAGCTGTGAACTGGGGCTTCAGGGTGAGCATCCATCACAGGGAGCTCACACTGATGAGGAGAGGATCAGTGTCAGACCCTCGGCCTCCGCCATCCTGTCAGCAGGTGATGTGGTTGCCTTCCTCCACAGTCCACTCACTTCATCAGCAGGAAGCAGCCCAAGATCCAGTAAGCAGCAGACAGAGCCTTCCACATGAGAAGAACCTGGCAGCATCAAGCAACTGTTGCTGGACCCATCAGCTCATCACTGCTTTGGGGAGACAGAGAGTTTCCCTGCAGCGACAGCTCTTGGGATCAAAGACGGGAAGACCTACTGCCTTTCTCATCCTCAGCCGCTGTTCTTGAGGACACTCCCTCATCTGCCTCCTCCAGGCTGGAGATTCTTCTTTTCTAACCTGCAGCCCACATAGCTACGGAAAACAGACACAGCCAGGCTGCTCCCTGGCTCTCTTAACTCTTTCCCTGGCACGTCTCCCTTCCCCCCCTCATTTTCTTCCCCAAGTACAGTCCTTGCCCTTCTCCTAGGAGGCATAATGGGCTGGCTGCCCCTTTTCTCAGCAGGTAGCCCTTTCCTAAGATCCCTTGGGAGCCCAGGAAAATGTGAGTTGTGTGACCAGGGAGCTGAAATGTCCTGGAACAAAAGCCTGCCATTCCCCCAGCCAGCTTGGGAAGTGCCAGCTGTCTCCACCACCCTGGAAGGTAAAACTCCTCACACAGCCCACAGATTTCTGCTTTTCCTGTCTGAATC